CCTCTCCCACCTTCCCCTCCCTCTGTGATGTATCTTCTTGGGCTGTATTTCTGCCATTTAGAGAAAAAATTGCTAGGGCAGGAGGGAGGATGGCTGGCCACTTCCCATTTCACATCATTCCAAGCTGGATTTTAAGTGCAATACTTCAGCACCATCAATTTTTCCCTGGATTTATGTATACACCAGAGCACGGTGCTCTGCTGAGGGCATCATCAAAGTTTGTTTTGAAGAGGCAGAGAAGGGTTTTCCCCAAACAAATTACCAGCAAGTCTTTAATTGATTGAAATTCCAGCCATTTACACTGAATAGCAGCATCAAACCCCTTGTTTAAAAAAAAAAAAAAAAAAAAAAAAAAGCGAAAAAAAGCGCTCAGCGTTTTAAATTGGAGCTGAAAGGCTGGAAAACGAAGCCATCTGAAAGATGCTCAGGGAGGGTGGGGAGGGAACGCAGCTGTGCTGAGCGACCTGGATGCCGGCTCCGGCACGATGCTGCCAAAACCCAGCCAGCTACAAACTCTCTTCATAGAGGCACCAACAAACCTAATCCTGGCCTCTGCAGAGCTAAAACTGCAACTTTTAAAGGGAAAAAGGCAGCGGCGATGGGCTGTCAGGGATGATTCATCATCGGTGCGTAATAAGTAGCTGTTGTCAGGATGCCGGGATGTCCTGGCTGGATGCACTGCAGCCCTTTGGGATAATTTAAGAGTATCTGGGAAGGTCTTGATGCAAAGCTTAAAGAAAAAAAAAGAGTCCTGGATTTGGTTCGGTATTTTTGGTGGTTGCCTGTGCTCATTCCCGGATGGCTGTGGGGAGGCAGCGCCCGGTGGGTGCCAGATTGGGAAGCCCGGCACTGGCCCAGGGGAAGGCTGCCTTTTAAAAAGCCTCTCCCTAACGTACGTACACAGGGAACGGCAGAGTCAAAAATAAAGCTCGGAACATTTCACAACTCCTGCCGGCTCCCAGAGCCGCCGCCATCCCACGCGGCGCTGAACGCGCGCTCGCCGCTTCCAAGTTTCGCGGCAAGCTTTGCAAGTGGGAAGCCAGCAGCCTCCCCCGGGCAAACCGCCGCCGCTCTCCTTGGCGCAGGCCACGCTACCAAATGCCATTTATTTTTTTGGGTGCAATCCTCCAGGAAAGGAGGATTTTAAGCAGAGCAGCAATCCTCGAAGCATCCCTGGCTGCGCTTGTCTGTGAAATGACGCTCGTGCAGGTTTTTTATCCCCTGCCCTAGGACGGGTGCAGGTGACTGCGGAGATGGTCGGGCATCCCTGAGCAGCATCTTCAGGCTGCTGTTAAAAAAAAGAGATGACACAACTCCCTCTTTACACAATATTCACTTATCTCAGCAGTCTCTGGGGGAAAAACAAAACAAAACTCCAGCACGCCCGGCTCATCTCTTGACAGACTCTGATCCTCGCGCTACAAACTCGACGTAGGTGACGATGCAGAGAGGATAAACCTCCAACCAAAATATGGTAATCTGGTTTTGAAGTCTCATAGAAGGAACAAACAGGAGGGAGTCAACAACGAGCCGCTCCGTAAAGTGAATCAACAGAAAGACAGCATATATTAACCCAGATCTGCTTAATTTCAGGAGTTTACTCCCCTTTCCTGAAATGCAGAGCTCAGGCAGGCGGAGGGGAACCTCGCAGAGGAAAGCCTTATTCCCTTGCTAAAGGGATCTTTGCCCTTTATTTATTTATTTGTTTATTTTTAATGCCAGCCTCCTTTCCCTTTCCTGCTGTTAGGGTCATAACTATTTCACTATTTCCCAGGCAGGCAGCGTAATGCACTCAGAGGCCGCTCCGGCGCGGCGCTAAGTGCCATCCCCCTTTGGCGGAAGGGCAGGAGGGAGGTTGCAATACCCTTAATGAGCTCTGAAGATCTCACTCACGTTAAAAGGAGGGATTTCCAGATGCAAGACTAATGTAAAACGCATTAATACTAATGGGGGGACAGGGTGTGTGGGGGAAACTCCCAGCGCTTTGAGCCCCAGGAGGTTGTTTCGATGGTGCTCGGCGTTCGCCGAGCCTTAAGATGCTCTTTGGCACCGGGCTTACCTGCGGACCGGGACCCATGGGGCCCATCCCTCGCGGAGGATTCATCCTTTGCATGGGGCCGCCCATGTTGGGGTGCCCTGTTGGGAGGAAAGCAGGGGCGTTACGTGGCACGGCAGCCACTTCGGGTCCCGAATGAACAGCTAACGAGAAACGCGATCGTTCCGCCCTCTCCGCTGGGGTTTACCTTGCTGTCGCGTGGGATCCATCGAGTTGGGCAGCAACGGCTGTGTACCGGGAACGGCGCCCGGGGGCTGTGAAAACGAGGGGAGGAAGGTTAAAAAAAAACAGTAATGGCTAAAATGCAGCCCACACAGATGGATTTAGGTCAAGGCTTTAGGGGGCTCCTT